AAAAAAAATACAACCGAACGATTTTATTCGGATGGATTTTGGCCCAACATCCGTGGTGGATGAAGACACAAAATGTACCGATGGAGGTGTTTGTGCAGGAAAGTGCGGGATGCGTTACAGACCAGAGGCTTCGTGAGGAAATTCTCAATTTTTCGTCTTACACAGCCATACAGAAAGAAATGGAAGCTTGGGCGCAAGCTTACGAAGAGCAGGGTGGCTACGCTGCGAGACTGGAAGGACTTTGCAGATAAGAGTATTGTCTCTCCTATTACACGGACAAAACTGAGGGCAGCCCTTGCCGCGGTGGAGGAGGCAGAGAGGGAAAGGCGGGCAGCCGCAGCACCTGTGGTTTTGGATGAGAGGGTCTACCGGTCGGTGTTGAATGCAACGTGGGACTTACGTGGAGTCGGGCCACTTTGCGGAGCCGCTTGGGATGAGGTTGGTGGGCGCCGCTTCCAGCAGGCCTCAGATATTGTGGAGTGAGAGTGGGAGTGAGGCGGACGTCACACCTTGTCCTCCTAAGATTGAGGAGTATGAAGAGGAGGAGACCCGTGGTGTGGGGCTGGAGTTTATTGTGCTTAGATCTGCGTTTGCGTGGCCGCACAAAATTTCCTTTTGCCAGATTACGAGGATATATTTGTGCGGAGGGAGGTGGTGCGTGTGTTGAGGAGGAGCGCGTGGTGAGGGATGCGTCGGTGGTGGTGAGGCCCAATGCGGGGAATGGAGAGGACGCGGAAAGCTGCATGAATTTTCCCGTTTCAGTTGAGGTCGAAAAGAACATTGCGGAGGCGGGTGCTAATGAAGAACTTTAGGATGTCCCGCCTGCTGTCTGTTGTGGGAACGTGGAGTAGGTCTGCTGCTAATGATCTTGAGTGCTTGGGCTGCGTGGCGTTTCTGATTAGCGACGTCGCTGAAGCGGTAGCTCGCAAGGTGAATCACCTTCCCGCAGCGAGGGAGGAACGCGGGCCAGCGTGTTGGCGAACGGGCATGCGGTGGGCCGCTTTCCAAGGGACCCCTGCGTGGTCGGGTGCATGGCAGGTGGAGATAATAGAAGAGTAATAATCCAGACTGAACTTCAAGCTGGCGTTCTGTATATGCCCAACAAGTGATTTTTCCCCGTGCTGGACGCGTTCTACGTGGTCGGGGTGCAACCAACGGAAACTGCCAAGAAAAAAATTAAATCTGGGCGGTCCCGAAATGCTGGCGCCGATGGGCACAGCCGTGCGGAGAAAGAAGTGACGTTCATTGGGCTGCAGGTGGCAAAACACAACACTTACCACACCACTGCCGGTAAGGTGGCTGCGTTTCCGAAGTACATGACGTGCAACTTCAAGGGCTGGGAGGCGCTGAGGGAAAAAATGAGGTGGGAGATCATTTACATTCAGCACGCTGATGACTGGCAGGCGGGATTGCCATGTCACGGAGGGAGAAAAGGAGGTGCCGAGACTTCAGGTTGCCAGAGACTTTTGGGAGAGAAGGGTGGAGCAGTGCCAGGTGCAGTTTGACGCGGAGATGACTGTCCAGCTGGTTGTTGCTGCCAGCAAAGGCCACTCAGGATAAGTGACGTGAACGTTGGGTGTGGCTGGGAATCCGCCCTGCTCGTGTGTTACATGGTGTTGTATGGGTTTGTGTCGTTTCAAGACATTCTTTTAGTGCGTTTCTTTCTTGGTGGGGAAGGAAGGGCGGCGGCATGGCTGGGAGTGGGGGAGAGGCGAGTTGTATTATTATTGTGGTTGGTGTAGTGGGCGGAGTGGCGGCTTCCTCGTGTATATTGCAGCGGGGGCGGGGTGCTTTGCTGAGAGAAGGCGGTGAGGGGAGTGTGTCACCCGCTGAGGCTGAGCAGACGACAGATGGTTTTGTGTGGCTCCTCTGCTTGTTTTGCGGATGACTTGATTTTTAGCTTTCAGCGATGCCGCGTTGGGGAGCAGCGCGAGTGTTTTTTATTTTGAGTTCTTCCACGCCACAACCCCCCACAGCAACTGATGGCAATAATGACACCCTCCAATGCGGAAGGGAGTCGTGTGGTTGCGTGGCCCACCGAGCTAAACTGCGATTCCCCCGTTGTGCGACCTTCGCTTTTTAGGAGTGGGAGCCATATGGCCTTATCCAGAGGCATATTTTATTATTATTATTATTATTATTTTGTTTCATGAGATTTTTGGTGAGTCTTTTGGTTGGTTCTTTGCGGCGGTGGGTGCCGTGGGGTCGATTGCCTTTTCGGGTGCTGGGAATTATTCTTTTCGTTGGGATTGGGCACGCAGCCGTGGCGCGGCGAGGGCGCATTTCACGGAGTGGTGAAGACGTCCCCTCGGTGGCATAGGGGGTGTGGCGGCGAGGTGTGTTTCTTGGCGCACCGATGGGTGAGAGAAACTGGCAGATGAAATAAAATAACAGCCGGCAACGAACATGGGGAGGGAGGAAGGGAGTATGTCTATATATAATATATGCACGTATTGTTGGAGCTGCGGGATTTCCGTTTGTCAAAGGAACTAGCGACGCGGCCTGTGGTCGCAATCATACGGGCAGGATCTCTCTGTCGGCAAGGCACTGCCCCAACACAAGCGGCTGTCTGCAGCAGGCTGGCACCGGCGACGGTTGTGTGCGCTGCACGCAAGACCCTAAATGGGGCACCCCACCGAGTCCGCTGTATTGCCGCAGAAGGAATAGTACCCCTGCGCATATGGGTTGGAAGTACGGGGTGCTGTGGGTGTTGACGGTGGAGGGCGGTTGGGCTGCAGGTTGCTGCGGCAGCTCCGGCACAGTGAGGCAGCTCAGTGAGTGCACGGCGAGGTGTATTTAATAAAATGGGGAAACTTTCGTTGACGAGTTGTCGAGAGGGAAATTATTGACGTGCGGCACGCTGCGAGTGCGCCAAATAACATACGTGGCGGGTGTGTGACGCCATCGCGCCCTGAATGCTGCTCAGCGTAAAGAGGAGGAGAACACGGTGCATTTTTGGCACCAGAAGGTGCGTCAGTGCCTGTTGGCGACATCGTATGGAGGCGTACGTGCCGTGCGTGGTGGGTGAAGTGGTTTCTTGTTTTCCCCTGAGACTCTTTGAGGTGCTTCACTTCCACGAGCACCGCGGTGCGGCTGGGAGGCGGGCGATTGCGTTTAGGTTGTTGGTGGCGGTGTCGCTGCGAGAGTTTGTTTTTGTGGCCGCAGACTAAAGGCATCTGCTGCGTCTGTCTTGTCGTGGTGGTGCTGCTGCCCCGTTTATTTTGTATTGTTATTATTATTATTATTTTTTGCGCTACGCCCCACTCCTTCTGCAGTGCGCTAAGGGAAGTGGGGACGTTGGGGAGTTTGTGGGGGCCGTGATGGGAGGTCCCGCCGGGATGCGCACTACGTGTTGCTGCTGGCGGGGTTTGAAGGGGCTGGGCGGGGGAGACGGTAAGTAGGGTGCTTATGAATTTGTTTCGTTTTTTTATTTTTGATTTCTGTGGGAGGTGTCCCACACTGCGGACTCTCCGTGTGGGTGCGTGTGGGTGTTTCTTGTGGGCTGCGGCGAGTGTGTGATCGTGCGGCCCACATGTTTGTCGGTGCGGTCTTCGATACGGATACTTGCTGTTCTTTGCGGGGCGCCCAACTGTGGGTGCGGGCGGTTCATTTTTTTTGGGGTGGTTGCTTTTTTCTTTCTCACACACGGAACGAACAATAACGAAGACTACTTGTTATTGTACGCATTGAAAGGCTCTGCAGTCACCACCAGCAACACACACACAACCGTTGCGGTCTGAGCGAATCCACCACAAGGAGGGAATAAAGAGAGAATGAGTGAGCAGCGACACATGCTTAAGATGTCCCGGCACCTGTTTTCTTATTTGATGCTGTTGCTACTTTTTCTGCTGCTGATATGCTTTGGCAGTACGGCTGTGCACGCCCAGGAGGGAAATAAACCAAAGGAAATACAAATGCCAGAGACCGTCGATATTTTTGTGCCGCATCGAACGATTGTGGAAACACGAGGTAAAGATCAACTGGGGGAATCCTTTATCTCACCTTCTCTTGTCAGTGCTGGTGGGGTCTTGGTTGCGCTTGCCAAGAGCCACACCAGTTTTCCAAGCTCCGGTGAAGAACAGTTTTTCGCCTATTATGCTGATGTTGTGGCGGGGTACATTGACTCTGCGAAGAACTGGTCGTCTTTTGTCGATGAAGTCCGACTAAACAAATGGAAGGCATACAACATTTTTCACACAACGATTCCAAAGGGGCATGACTTTCCTGTGAGACGCGCGTACCGGCCCACAACAGTTGCAAAGGGTAACAAGGTTTTTTTACTTGTGGGAGACTATTTTACGAAGCATTACACTTTAACGAGGAGGGATGCTACACACCTACAGGGTCTTGATTTGCTCGTGGGTGAGGCCACGCAAGATAAAGTCATCCAATGGGGCAAACCCACCTCGCTTTTATCACAAATTGAACCATCTGCTAAACAACGTGGCCTGGACCAGTTTGTTAGTGCTGGTGGCTCAGGCGTTGTGATGGATGATGGCACGCTTGTGTTTCCTGTGATGGCGAGGAATAAGGTAAAACAACTATTTCTTTCCATGATCATTTATTCGAAGGACGACGGCAAAAATTGGACGCTTTCACAGGGTATGGTCCCTGCACAGTTGAGAGACTTCCTCATCGTTGAGTGGGAGCAGGGGCAGCTTGTCATGGTTGTTCAACGTGATTCTCTCTCCAATGTGTTCGAGTCGAGGGACATGGGGGAAACGTGGACGGAGGCTGTCAGGACACTCACACGCGTGCAGCCCAGGTTTTTACCAAACTCTTTGCGAACAGCTGTGGGAGTGGGGTCCCTCACCACTGCGACCATTGCTGGAAAGAAGGTCATGCTGTACACTCAGAAAGGGATTCTCCGTGATGACCCGTTGCAAGCCACCGCGCTCTACCTTTGGGTTGCTGACAACAACCGCACGTTTCACGTCGGGCCCATTTCCATGGACATTGGAGATAACCGGACGTCTAACAACACCCTGCTGTACTCTAACGATGCATTGCACCTTTTACAACAGAGGGTCGGTACAACAACCATAAGTCTGGCTCTTTCCTCTCTAACGGACCAGCTGAAGACGATCACGTCCGTCTTGGAGACTTGGGCAAAAATGGACTCCTTCCTCTCGAACTCGTCTGTGCCCACGGCCGGTCTGGTTGGATTCTTGTCGGATGCATCGGGTGATGGAAGTTGGAACGACGCGTACCGTTGCTTGAATGCAATTGTGAGGAATGCAAAGAAGGTTGAAAATGGCTTTAAGTTCACGGGGTTTGGGTCATACGCCATGTGGCCTGTGAACATGCGGAAGTATCACAATGTGCACAGCTTTGTGAATTACGCGTTCACGCTTGTGGCGACGGTGAGGATCGATGAGGTTCCGAAAGAGAGCGTTCCTCTGCTGGGTGCGGGACTGGAGGACAATGAAAACACAAAGTTTGTGGGGCTGTCGTACACGACGGAGAAACGGTGGGGGACAGTCTTCAACGGCATCACGACAATAACACACAACAGCACTTGGGAGCCGGGGAAGAAGTACAAAGTGGCGCTCATGCTGCAGGACAACAAGGGCTCCGTGTACGTGGACGGCGTGCTTGTGGGGAATACTAACAAACTACCAACCCGTGAGGCACTGAGGCACGATATCACTCACTTTTACTTTGGTGGCACCGAGAGCAGCAGTGTGACAATAAAGAACGTCTTTCTGTACAACCAACCACTAAATGCTATGAAACTCAAAAAGGTTGACAGCGCCAAGGCATCAAGGAAGCGTACAGTTGACAGCTCCAAAGCATCAAGGAAGCGTACAGTTGACAGCTCCAAAGCATCTGGGAATCGTACAGTTGACAGCTCCAAAGCATCTGGGAATCGTACAGTTGACAGCTCCAAGGCATCAAGGAAGCGTACAGTTGACAGCTCTAAAGCATCTGGGAATCGTACAGTTGACAGCTCTAAAGCATCTGGGAATCGTACAGTTGACAGCTCCAAAGCATCTGGGAATCGTACAGTTGACAGCTCCAAAGCATCTGGGAAGCGTACAGTTGACAGCTCCAAAGCATCTGGGAAGCGTACAGTTGACAGCTCCAAAGCATCTGGGAAGCGTACAGTTGACAGCTCCAATGCAGTTGGGAAACTTGCAGGTGACGGCTCTACGCGTGCGGATGTGTCTCAGCTGCTCCTGCTGCTATTGGGGCTATGGAGTTTTGCGGCCCTGTGCTGAGTGGACCCCAGTGGAGGGGAGTTTGTGCTTCTACTGAGAGCACCTCCGTTTCTCATGCGCTTTCAGAGGCAAATAACGTGTTAGGTAGTCACTCATTTTGTTTTATTTTATGCTTTTTTTTTTCTTGGACCCACAAATTGCGTTCTCTCATCGGCGCCAGTACAGCGGGGTCCTCATGTTTTTTGTTTCGTCCTTTTTATTTGTTATATGGTTTGTCTCAATGGCGGGGGCCATTCACCGATTTGCTTTTTAGTGTATCGGTTCAGTATATTGTTGGTTTACTGCTTTACGGATGTGTTTTTTTTATTGACTGTTGTTTTGTGGGTTGTTTCTCAGCGAAAACGTTGAGCCTCCGTGTTTGTCTGACAGTATGAGATGCTTCACTGCGCCCCGCACTGCTGTTGCTGCGGGAGGGAGCGGGGCTCTCTCCTTTACGTCTTGGTTTTTGGTGGGTGCGGACGTGTGCCACGGTGCTGGCTGACGCGCAGGACACCGAATTGGTTTGAAAAGACACGGATAAAAACAACAACTAACCGCTTTTCTTGGGCGTCTGCAGACATTCTCGGCATTGTATGTCCGCCGATAGGAGAAGAAAAGGAGTGAGAGCCACAGCAACACACTGCGGGTCCCTATGGAAGTCAAACGGTGTCTGGACACTGGGGCCTTTCGGTGGTTGAAACGAATATATCATTTATTTTTATATGCGGCCAAATTGTGAGTGGAACTGTGGGGATCGCACAGGTCCCTTCCACGATAGTATATATATTTTTTTTTTTGTTGAACCATATTACTTGTGTGTTGCCACTGTGTGTGCTGCGGTGCCATTTTGAGTTTTAGTTATCTACTTTTTTTCCTTGCGTCCTGCATCTCTTCTGTGTGTCTGTATGTGCATCCTCACACGCTTTACTCTTCTTCCTTCTTTTTATTTTTGTATCTCCAGGCACACACACACATACACGGTATATATACATGCTGCGGTATGCGTGGAGGATGTTTTTGTAGTTGGTGCCGGCAGTGCCGCCTGTGCTGCTGTTACCGCCTTCTGTGGGTATGAAGGGAATAGAGAGACAAAGGGGGAGGAGGTGCGTTGTCGGTCATTCTCCCTTCCCTTGGGGGTGGGGGGCGCTGCGTGTGGTGGTGTTGCTTTGAGTGACGTCATGTCCCGTGCACGGTATGGTTTGGCTGCTCCGTCGTGGGTGGGTGCGGAGTCCTCTATGCGCGTGGACTTGGTGGGCTGTGATCTTTTTGTTCCTTCTCCTATGCTTTCACTTTTTTCCGCTCCCCTTTTTGCGACCTCTGCTTCCCTTCCTCGCCTTCTTGTTTTTTTCTTTTTCCTTGCTTCCTCGGAGCTTACCGACCCCTGCGACTCTGCTGCTGCTGCTACGACGGATGGTGACGGCTACTGTGCGGCGCCGTGCTGTGTGCGCCCTGACGCTCCTCCGTCTGCGGGGCACCGGCGGTGCGTAGTGGCGGTGCGTCGCTGGTGAATACGTTGGTGGAGGTGTCCGTGGTTCGGTAATGACAAAGAGTTGGGTTGACGTGTTTGTGGCTAGAGGAAACAGACAAATTATGCAAACCGGCTTGAACCTTTTGACATTCCCGAGGCGACTGCGGGCGACGGTGGTGACAGCATCTGCTTCATTGCCGAATCGACGTACTTGGGCAGCCGTTGTGGATCGCGCTGCGGGAGGGCCGGTGCCACGGGGGCATGCTGCATTCACAGCGCCTTTTGCGATGCAGGGC